AACAAAGATCAGTGACTAACAGTGGGAGAACTAGAAGCTGATCTGGCTTTTTCCAAAACTAAAATCACCGTGGAAAGGGAAGAGATTTCAGATTGTCAATGAGATTCAGGAAAATGCGACAGGGCAGCTGATGGAAATTCCAACAAAGGATTTTGCAGTGTTTTGAACAGTGGGAGAGATGCTGGGAGAACTCTGTGAGGCCCCAAGGTGCCTCCTTTGAAGGGGACTGAGGTGTCATTGTCCTACATACAATGTTTCTTGTATACTGTATCTTCTTCAATAAGTGCCTCTCGTTGTCATAGTATATGGATGGATACTTTCTGGACAGGCCTTGTGCTTGTTGTTTTGTGTTTTCCTTATCTCACTTGTGTAATGTTTTCAAGGTTCATCCATGTTGTGGCATGTGTCAGAACTTCATTCTTTTCTATGTAGTGCCTTAATTTTATATTTTAACTTTTTAATTATGTAATTGTTTGGAAGAGGAAAACTGAAGTAAATAAATTTCCTTCATTCTGCCATCCAATTCTGTCTTTCAGCTCCCCTCACCTGGCAATCTATCTCAACTAACTAAATACCTAAATTCTCAAAATAGCGGACAAAGCAAATTAGCCAACATTCACACAGATCAAGAGCTAAACTAAGTACTTTGCTCATCGTCTGCCCTGGATTTCTCTAGCATTGAAGGTCTCTCCTTCCTTGGGGACTTCCCTCCTACCTTCTGATGCAGACGGCCTCTACTGCAAATAGCTTCCCAGGACCCTACTTCCTTCTCTAGCATTCATCCCAAAAGGTAGCAAAAACTTTTTTCGTTCTACCCATCTTAGGCTCTGAGGCTGGGATCCTGTAATTAGACCCTGTAGTTAGACTAGCTAAAAAAAGATTAACAAGAGCAAAACAAACAAGTTCATTAATCTGTGTACTACACATACACACAGGCATACACCATAATATGTTATTCAAAGGGATGGTTAGACATTGGGCTTATATAGCACCTTAACAAAGAACAATAACTTTTTAAAGAAGAGACAAGACCTTGAGTAAGAAGGACTTTAAGTTTCTAGGGTAGTAAATTGTGCAAAGGCAAATATGTGGGAAAACTAACAGAAGAAAGGGATATTTAGTAAAGTTTGTTATGTAGGTGCCTTTACATCGATCTGTGGGACAATAAGGAAGTAAAGTTGTTTCCAGGGATTAATTTTTGTCATTCTTAGAGAGAGAGTAGGACAAATTTATGTCCTACTGTTAGGCAAATAGAGGGAAAGCAAAAAGTTTCCCTTCTATCTACTTCTTTTCAATTGCCTTCAGCTCAAGATGATTTTTATGCCAAAATCGGCATATTTTAGGGCAGTCTATTCTCCTACCCTGCCATCCTCTCTCAAACTTCCTAAAAAAAAAAAAAAAAAGCAAACATTTGCTATTGCCTCCATTTAATAACTCTGATTCTGCTAGGGTTAACATACTGGCCACTGAGCAACACAGAACTGGCCTGAACTTCTGCTCCACCACCTATTAGTCATATGACCTTGAGCTAGTATTTAAACTCTTTATGGCTGAGGTTCATAACCTGCAATGGAAAGGACTGTCTCACTTTGGGCTGCTATGCCAAATTACTGTAAGTCCTCACTTAATGCCATCAACATCCAAGTTCTGCAACTTGGAGTAAAATATTGTATAATGAAACCAATTTTACCACAGGCTAATTGATATAAACAAGAATTAAGGTCCTGTGGCATCCCATCAACATTATAATGAAATAACGTTGAATGCAATGATGTTACTGGAGGACCAAAATCATGACTCAGGAATGGGCCAGGGAGGTCACCATGGCTGCCACAGAGTTCTAGTCACCATGGTTAGAAACTGTCATGGGAGGCACCGGTTCTGCTGCGAGGCTGCTGACCTTTGATGTTGTTGCCATAGCCACTAGAATGGATTCTCTTATCTCTATTTCTTTGCATCACTGGTTTCTTAGTAGTCCGCAGTGGGTACATCTGATTGGTCAAGGCTATGTCATATACCTTGTCTCTAGCTGCAAGGGAGCCTGAAAAAGCATGCATCCAAAGTTTTTTGGTTCTATGTGGGAACATGGGCTTTGTCTCTTCCCAAGGTTCATAAGGTTGGAAGTTCCCAAACTCAAGAGTCTGGATGCTGAACAGTCAAAAAGACAACTGTCTGCTACTACAACTTACAGAGAACTTGAAAGGGGAATTTTGGACATAAAAATTTATATAAAAAACTAGACATAACCCCAGTACTACCATCTAACACTTTTTACCTTTTAACAATGTCCCCTAACACACTAAATAGCACTTAAAATACACTACATAAAAATCATTGATGCTGACTGATCTTTACTGAAGAATCAACATGCTAAATTATTGTATGTAAGGCATACAATACAATACAATATGGGGGAATGGCAATAAAAATATTTCTCAGAGTAGGGCACAATGGAAACCACCTTCTATATTCACCTAAAACAGCTCTTCTTCTACATCCAGATCAGATTCATGGAAAGGAAAGTTTGAAGACTTGAAAATCCTGACCACTCATTTTTAAAGGTTTAAAAATGTTGGCTCTTTTCTATTATACATATTAGTGTAAAAAAATCACACAGCAACATACCTTAGCTCTCCTGTAGCCAAAGTTGCTGCATAGTATACAGAAATGATACTGTGAAACTCAACATAGAGAACAGAAATTATTGACATGAAGTATAAAATGACATACACAAGGTAAACATGTAGTGTAAACCTGTTATATAACGAAGTGTTATAGGAACATGTAATACAAAACTATTAAGTCTTCATAAAAGTGGTTTTAGTCAAGTCTTATAAAACAAGATTTCCAGGTATATGTGATTAAAGACGGACACAAATTTTTTACCCTCACAGCTGTGGCTAAGTTGAATGGGCATCAGCTTGCAGAGCAAAGTTGCCAGTTGGATTACCGGTCAGGCACATGCCTGGGTTGTGAGTTCGGTCCCCAGTTGGGGTGTGATCAATGTTCCTCTCTCACAATGATGTTTCTCTCCCTCTTTGTCTCCCTCCTTTCCAATCTAAAAATAAACGAAATCTTTAAAAAAATAAATATGGTCACAAATTCTTTACTAATCCTCCCACTGAGCAGCGAATTCTCACTAGCTTCTGCTTAAATCTAGGTTGGCCTTAGCAACTTGCTTAAACAACAACATGTGGCAGAAGTGATATTCTAGAACCTCTGAGATTAGGTCATAAGGCTTGCAGCACCAGCCTAAGAATCTTGGAACCATCTCTGGGAGCCTTGAACTTCCATCTAAGTCCATTACCTTGAGACTACCATGCTGGAAAGGGCACATGCAGACACTCTGGTTGACATTCTCAGCTGCGGCCAGTCGTCCAGTCTTCCTTGCCTAAGTGTGACATATGAATGACTCTGTTTCTGACTTTCTAGACCATTCTATCTGCCATCCCAAATGGTCTTTGGGAATATTTCCAAATGGTCTTTGTCAACACCAACGGCAGAGCCATCCTTGCTTACTGAGTTTTGCTTCAATTCTAACCCACAAAAGTGTGATATAATGAAGTGGTTGCTGTTTTAAGCCCTTAAGTTTTCAGGTAGTTTTCTATGCACCAATACATAACCAGATTGTCAGGTAAACAAGTGGGGAAGGATATTTCCAGCAAAACAAACATGCATGCTTAAGGGCCAGCCACACTGAATGAACTCATTTCCCACGAACACTTTGTCCCACTCCATCTCACTGTATCTTCCACGTGCCCTAACCTTCTCCTTCCCCATCCTCAAATTCCAAATCCTACGTAACTTTTTTTTCTGTTTTCTTCTGTGTTCCCAGCAAAATGGCACTTTCTGCCTCCTCTGGACTTGTATAATTCTACCTCTCTAATAACTAAGATTAATAAGTCTCATTTTTCTGAAGAAGTGAAAATTTATGCCCTTTGTTCCAATTAATTAATAGTGCCCCCTTTCACTCCCAAGTGTCCCATTTTAGTCAGTACATCATATGGTCACCCTGTGCTTAGCACATTACTTTGAATTGCAGTTATTTGTGTAGAACTTTAGCTCTTATTCTAGACTATACGGTTACTTGCAAGCAAGTACCATGTATTTCCGTCAGTAACTACCTACTGAGCATCTACAGTATGGCAGATGTTGCTCAGTGTGTTGCCCTGTATATTCTGACTTTGCCCAGCGCTTGATGTAATGGAGGCTGTGGCCCGATTACCTCACAGCTGAACCAATTTGAGGACTGATGAGGACAATGTCTGCGACTTGGAAAAGGTTCCTTTCATGTCAGTTTATTATACAGGCCGTGCAAAGGATACCTGAGACCAAAACAAAATTACATGGTTAGAGTAGACGTGACTACTGGGCCCTCCCCTTTTCTGTATGGACTCACATCCGAAGTCTCAGCTTGTGCATCGTGAGATATGCGCCAGGTGTGCGAAGCCCAAAACCTCAGCCCACTATTGTTCAGGCTGGTGCATAGAGAGCGGGGAGTGGTTGTGTCAGTCTGGTCCATGTCCAAGTTTTTAGACCCTACTTTCCCGCTGCAATCATCACATAACCTAGTTACTGACGTGGTAACTTTCTTTCATTGACACTGGACTTAGCGGAAGTCAGTGCAGCAAGCCTGGCCACCGCCAACTGGAAAGGCATTCAGTGAATGCTTAATGAAAGAAGTCAGTAGAACCACATCACTAACGAAAGCCATGGGAAAATTTAACTTCCCTAGCTGGTAAAGGTTAACTAAAGACAGAAAACCTGTGATTTCTAGACTGTTCTTCCAACTCAACCATCAAATTTGCTAAATGCTTTCCTTACACCTCTGGTCTTTATTTATAAAAGCAAACTCTCTCTTCTTCTCCATAAGGCTCTAGGCCTTCTTAAGGTAGCTTGCTGTTGACCTCTGATCCTCCAATGTGAAACTGTTCTTAGAGAATGAACTGTGACCCATAAATTCATAACAACAAATTTTATAAGAAGAAAAGGATGTGATTTTATTTTCAAGATTTTGGAAATTGTTTTCAGAAAAAAATAAAGTGACAAGAATATATAGAAAAACTGAAATATTCCATTGAACTATAAACTCCTAGCAGAGCAAGGGACTTTTGAAGTATGAGTCCCTCTTCTTCTTGAATCATGTCTAAAATGTCCCTCATTCTCGTGACCAGCCTCCTCAAATCTTTCCCAAGTTTGGTGTACTTCATCTAATAAAAACAACAAGTAATTTTTAATCATTTCAAAGAAAGAATAAAATATGGGTGAAAGGCCTCTTGTGTTACGTGTCTTTAGAGAAAGGTCGTATCCTTGAAGCAGCTTTGTAATATGAAGAGCACAGTACTGGCTTTGAAAACAACAACAAAAATTCTGTGCACGTGCATTATTTAAATGTGAATGGCTGCTGTCATCTTCCTCTATAAAAAGTGACAAGCTGTATTCCTTCAAGTACATTAATGTAATTGTAGTTCATATACTTTTACACTTGGGATGAGGCTGAAACAAAAACAAAACAACCAGCTAACACAGAGCTGTTAATTAAAAAAACTTCAAAATATTAATTATTGTGAGAAGCGATCAAATGAAAATGAATCTTGGATAACAAAACAAATTTCCAATTACAGAAACAAATTCTATTATTTACTGAAAATTTCTACTCTCGGAAAATCCTGATTATAATAAAGAGATACATTAAGTGGAAACAGTTTAAGTAAATGTGATTATTTGGTTCATTCCAGAAGGTCTACTGGTCCAGCTGCTAGCGAAACGAGTCTCTGAGTTCTCAACGAAGAGTGACCAGTTCTTCCGAAGAGGTAGGGTGAATGGCAACCGTGTTGTCAAAGTCGGCTTTTGTGGCTCCCATTTTTACTGCAACAGCAAAACCCTGCAGCATTTCATCACACCCAATTCCTTGCATATGGATCCCAACCACCTAGGAAACGAAAAAGATACCTAATAGATAAAAAACTCTAGAACATTTACAACTCTGATGACACAGCCTACGAGGTCCTGTGTGGCCCTCCCTCAACATCCCTCCACAGCCCACCTCACACAGCCCTCCCTCAGGCTTTCGGCCTCGCTGGCTTCCCTTCTGCCCTGAGTACTCACCGTGCTCTCGTCTTTGCACACATTGCTCACTCTGTCCCAACAGCTTTCCTTTCCTCTTTTCAGGGTGAAAGCCCATTTGCTCCTCAGAGAGCTACGCATTCCTTCCCTGGCAAGTTTAACTCTCACAACCAATGTTTCTCCCCCATGGTTCTATCAGGACTGTAACATTTTATTTATTTATTTGGGGACCGGAGAGTTGCAGTCCATCTTTCCCGTAAGACTCGAATCTCCTCACAGATGAAAAGGCCCCTGTCTGCTTTTGCTCCCCTCTCCATCCCTATGGCCGAGCGCGACCACGGCCCTTCGGAGGCAGTGAGTCCACACACGCTGGGTGAGCGACTGCTGGAAGGGCCGTGAAGGGGCATTTGCTCCAACTCCCATTTTCCAGTGAGGTTTCTCCCTATACTTTAAAACTATGAGTTCATGTTCATCTTCAGCAAATACTTTTAGGGTAACCAGTCCATTGAAAAACAAAGTTAAAGAATATACAATTCGGCCACAAAAATATTTTGTTTAAAAACGTATCAAGAATATACTTAATATTAGTGAGTGGTACCCTTGAGAGTGATTAGGATGGTAAATTCTACATCTTGTGCTTTTTACAATGAAAAAAAGTATACTTCAATTTAAAACAAAAAAATCATATAGTAAATGTGCATTACAGAGCCGTATTATTAGGTACGTATTATGATCTAAATTGAATTTACAACACCAGAGTTTCTGGTGATGGCAGGCACTTCATATCATTTCTCTCCATATCCTGGTTATTAGTTTTATTAGACTGTCAGGTAATGTTTATCAAACAAATGAATGATAAAGGGGATGAAGAAACAGCTGATATTTAGTAGGGGCTCTGCTGATCCAACCCCTGGAAAGCTTAGGCTCTTGAGGAACATTCAGGGTCAAGAAACAGTGACCTGCGTTTTGCTTCCAACCCGTGTCCTTTCTTCTCTTTGCTCTGAGTCTCCGCGTCTGCCCACCCTCGTGAGGGTGACTCGTATGAGCCAGGGACCATGTCCTGTGGCCTTTGGAGTATGGGGCCACTGAATCGAATACAGGCTATGCTCTTTCTGATGAGAACCTGGAAAAATACATCTGAATCTTCAATTAAGCCACTGTCCCTCATGAAGGCATGTTCCCAAGGCATACTGCTAAGTGGCATTTCAGTATTTAATTCAATTTGTAGAAAAGCCCACTAGACTGATCTAATGCCAAAACAAAACCTAGACTTCAGACATTCTGTTGAAAAAAAAAAAACAACAAATCTGTTCCTAGTCATACCAAAATCACAGTAAGATACCACTTCATATCCACTCGGGTGGACAGAGGAAAGAAGACAACAACAAGTGTTGTCTGGGGTGTGGAGAAACTGGAACACTCATGCATGGCTGAGGGGGATGGAAAATGGCAGCCAGTCTGGAAAACTGTTGGGTAGTTTCTCAAAATGTTAAACCCAAAACAGACAGTTTTACTGGCTAAACTTCCTCTGCTTCAGTGATTGGTTATGTTAAATTTATCTGGCATTAAATTCTTACACTTAACACTATTCCTGAGTTTCCAATCTACTCTGGCCTACTGGTCAATGACAGTGAGCTTTTTGTGGGTTTCGACCTTTCCCCTAATGTTTGCTGCGGGACCTTCTTTCTAAATGAAATAGTATGAAGAACCTTAATATACAGACAAGACAGGTAAAAGTGGGACTGCACCAGCAGAATCAGAGAAGGCTTAACCACATGGTCTCCTCCCTCCCAATCCCACCACCATGCCCCCATCCCTGCCAACCGTGACGTCACTCTTTGGCTTACTGGGTTTTCCCCATACCTTCTCTTCTTTGTTAGCACAAACCATTTTCATCACACATTTTGTTTTCCTTTTGGTAACTGCATGATACATTGGGGTAAAGGTAGTGGAATAGATCTTCACATTTTCTTTTCCATATTTACATATGGCATTGTCTATAATGTACAGGAAAAAAAGCATCTATGAAAAAAACTGAACAATTCCACTTATCAGAGAGCAAGAAGTTTAACAACCTAATCAAATCACAAATACCAAACAAAGCCACAGTGAGCAGTAGCCTACAAAATAAAGGCTGATGTCGTGAAAGATAAAACACTGAGGAATTCTGTCTCTAAAATAAAGGATACCAAAGAGTTATAAAAACTAAATGCAGTGCATTATCCTGGACTGAATGCTGGACTTGGGAGGAAAAAATGTTAAAAATGACATGTTTTGCGATAACTGGCAAAATTTGAGTAAAGTCTAAAGTTTAGATAATATTGTATGAATTTAAATGTTCTCATTTGAAAACTGCACTGTGCTTTTGTAAGGGATGGCCTGGTTCTTAGGAAATAGATACTTAGGCGTGTGTGAGTGTGTGCGCGTGTGCGCGTGTGTGTGCAGAAAGAAAATGACAGAGTGAAAATGTTAAGGGTATGAGGATCCTCTGTACTATTTTCATAACATTTCTTTAAATTTGAAATGAGTGCAAATAAAAAAGCCAAAAAAAGCCAAAGAGATAGGCAATGTGTTGCAGGAGAAAAGGAATTATGTTCTCAAAGTGGCAGTAGTCGGGGAGGAAATCGGAACTGGAACAAGAGACTAACCAAAAAGGACTGTAATGGCGGCAGGGGGCGGCCAAGCGGGGCGGGGGGGGGGGCGGAGGTTGCTGAGACAGGTTTAGTCAGCGGACAGGCACCTAGTTTCAGGCTGGGGCTGGAAGGAAGGAAACCATAACTGATCTTTGTTTATAAACACCTACCTTCTGTGAGTCCCACTGTGCCAATAGGGGGGTGGCTGAAGACCACCGTGGGGATGTTGTCATAGTCTAATTTGGAATCTTCTTTGCATTCAAAAAGTCTATGCGCGAGTTTTCGGCCAGCAGCTATGGCAACTGCAAAGATATTTTTAAATCAGTGGTTAACTTACTGCTCATTTTAACACAGCACAACCGTTCTAATCATTAAGCCACCTGGTTTTACATACTAGCTCTGACAAAATTTTACATCATTATACTATCTATAATGGTGTCTTCAATATAAGGAAGATATATTAATGCCTTAGTTAAGAATTCAAAACTAGCAGCTTATGAAAGAAAAAGAAAGAAAGAAAAGAAAAGAAAGAAAGAAAGAAAGAAAGAAAGAAAGAAAGAAAGAAAGAAAGAAAGAAAGAAAGAAAGAGAAAGAAGGAAAGAAAGAAAGAGAAAGAAAGACAGACAGACAGACAGACAGACATAGGTACAAGTTCCTAATCGATCTGGCAGTTACCTACCTAATGAGAATATTAGCTTTTTGATACAATATTTATGGAGCAAACCATATAAGTTTCAAGCATCTTCAGTTCTACTTTACAACCGTACTCAGTTCACACAAACATTTTAACACTTATTTGAAATTATTTTATTTCCTGTATTTTATAAAAGTTTATTCTCCTCAGCTGTTTTTATTCCTAACAGTCTTTTAGAATAAATGCCTAAGTTCAGTAAAAGCATCAGTTATTAATTTTATTGATTTCAAACTGACAGGTCCCCCCTCCCCCAAAATAAGATATCAATAGGATACATAAGAAATTTCTTCACTTGGACATACTTTTAAACTGTTAGATTATGTTTTTATTTTTTTATCCTCACCCGAGGACGTGCTTATTGATTTTATAGAGAGGGGAAGGGAGGAAAAGCAAAATCGATGTATGTGAGAGAGAAATATAGACTGGTTGCCTTTCATATGTGCCCTGACCAGGAACCAAACCCACAACCTTTCAGTTTATAGGAAGGCACTCCAACCAACTGAGCCACACTGGCCAGGGCTGTTAAGATTGTTTTAAAGTTTTTGAAATGTTACCTGTTATTTTGCTTTCTGTTAAGAGAACTTCCTAGAGATACTAAAAGGTTTCGGGTGTGTAACTGGGGAAGTTTCCATTCTGAGGTAAGCCCAGGGCCACGCTGGAATGGCTGGTGAGGTCCCGGAGGGGTTTGGAGTGAAAGCACAAAGAGTGCTGTTGATAATAGACAGAAGCGGGACAAAGAGCTTGGAAAGGTGCCGGTTAACTCAGGAAGCAGGCCGAGGTATGGGATTCAGAGGACAGGGCCAGTCTTGGTGGTATCAAGACTAAACATCACATAAGAATCCCACGCTAAATTACTTCTTCCCAAAGCCACTTCCTGCCACTGGCAACCACATACAACTCAGGTTCCAACTTACAGCATTCTTCAGAGGGTGACTATATCACTTATATAAAAATTTCAGTCCTCACTAGGCATTTTGAAAGTAGAAATAAGTATTATTCAGAAAATGTTAGGCACCCAACCAATGTCTGTTTCAACACATTTTTATCATTTTAATGACATAAAGACACCCATCCTTTTACATTTGCTGAAGCAGATCTGACTGTGAACTGCTACACGGTTTTCTATAACACACAGAGCCTCCCTTACCCAAGGAAAGAAGAAACATTACCTGGAGTAAGAAGAGCTTTTCCACACACATCCCCAACTGCATAGATGCCTTTGACGTTAGTATTCTGGAATTCGTCTACATTGATGTGACCTTTGTCATCAGTCTGAATCCCCTAAAATTATGAAGGGACACCATGTAAACAGTTGGCCTATCTACAAAAATGGAAGATCAAATCTCTGGGTCTACCTCATTTCAGGCACCTCTTTGGCCTGAATTTCTAAGAACCACAGGGCTCAACCACAAGGTGAAAAAATCTTAGCAAACTGGCAACACCATTGCTTCTACTTAATTTAAAAGGGAAATATTTTATCAGTTTTGAGGCCGTTTAACAGGATTTGACTTTGCAATGTACATCTCAACTGGCCAGGCAAAATGAAAAGGAATCACTCAACTATCAGATGCGGTATTTGCTATCCCCATGTAATCCGTTTAGGACGTGCTTTTCCACTTCTCCTCCTGAAGGACACTAACTCATACTTGGAGGGTCGCAGCCCAAAACAGTCAGCAAACCCGGATTTGTTTGAACCTTACCATTTTATCTTTAAAATTCAAGCAAATTTTGCACTGTACCCTAAAAGATACTGCTGTTTCCTTAAAACAAAACTTCTTCCCCATATATCGAGTTGACTTTTTGCTCTAAAATGTGTCATGCCTATCTTGTTGTGGCTTTCTAGATCCCACCTGTATATACTCCCGTGTGAGACGCAGAGAGGCAAGAGAAGTAGGAAGTAGGAAGCTTAGCGGGTAAGAGTACATTACCTTTGAAGCCAGACAGAGCTGGGTCAAGTCCCCGCTCTGCCATTTAGTAGCTGACACCTTGTATAACCACCTATTTATCAACAAACATTTGAACTTCTAGTACTAATGACGCATTAACCTAGTCATTGCGAATGCATTGGCAAGTAACACAAATACCCGCCAGCTCCACAGAGTTCCTAGCCCCGAGTTATGTATTAGCTCTGTGCTCCCGGTTTCTCATCCTTACACCTCCGAGTTGTTGGCAAGATTCAGTTAGGTTAGCAACATGTTGACAAAGCCTGCACATAGGCGTCATTCAACCTGCATTACAAAACATATCTTAACAGCAAATGAGATTAAAAACTTTGCCTCTTTTTAAAAAAATTCAGCAAATATAGTTGAAAACTGGACCTGTTAATGCCTATATCTGTACAAAGGCAAAATATCTCTTGAAGGGTAAAAAGCTGAATGACTGGTTTTGTTACTGTGAAAATAGTTTTACTAAATTTCGTTGAACAATAAGCTTAAAAACAAGTAAAATATCTCTTTGAATATTTTATTTTTTAATGCTAAAAAGTAAAAATGGAAAAAGGACTCTGTAACAGACTGTAATATTAGAACATAAATCAAAATATTATATGCTTCTCCAGAGGGTCCATCAAATGCATAAACTTCAAGCATATAAAGTATCTATTATTACTGGTAGAGTAGTATAGCACTTCAAAAAAAATCACCGTCATCATAACCATCAACAGCAGCTGGTTAATATTTATTAAGTTAGTAAGATCCCATACTATACGCTGGGATCTTAGTGAATTACTTTGCATGTACTTTCTCATTTACTCTTCTTTATAACTCAAGGAGGCAAGCACTATTATTATTCCCATATTCATAGGAAGCAATTCAACTTAAAAGTAATTATGCTACTTGCCTTGTAAGGCCATGCAACTGGTAAGTAATAGAACTAAGGTTCAAAATTGGATCAAACTCTGGGACCCATGCCCCGAGCTACTCTATTTGACTTTCCTTCGAAACTTAAGAGCACAAAGAAAAAAGCTAGTGATAACACTGGTAGGCCAGCTTCACATCTATTCCCATTCCCAAGCGCCACAACGTCCGGACGACTTACACACCCGGCTATTTGGGGAGAGCTGCGGACAATAAGGAATGCGGCAGGGCTTTAAAATGCAAGAATAGTAAAAGGAAATCTGTAAGCAGGAGGCTAGTTAGGAAACTGCTAGACATTCTAGATTAGAGGTGGCAGGAACCTGATCCCGGGTAATGACACAAAAGAGAAAATCTTTTAAGTTCAAAGAAGCAGTAGGAGGATTTGATACAAACTGGATGCAAGGAATAGAGGAAAAAAATCCAATGGAACCCACCAAACTTTGGGGGATCTGGGTGGGCTGGGGGGAACACAGGGCAACTAAGAGATTTAAGAATGTTTTGGGCAGACTAACGCAGCTTACCACTTTGTTTAAATTCAGGCCTCTCGAATTTGGGTCCCGTCCAATGGCCCAGAGCAGGCAGTCAACACCTTGCAACGTGACAAAGGTGGGTTTCCTACCAGGAACTGAAGTAAGGATGCAGAGCTCCAAGCCAGAGGAAGTCTTTTTAACCTCCTTGACCTATTGGCAAATAAATGTGTTAATTGTGGGGGAAGGAGGAAGAAAGGAAAGCAAACAGGAAACTAAAATTCCTAATATTTAAAAAATCCCCACTGAATCCTACACATGAACCTTACGCGCTGGCACATTTACATCTGCCCCAAAGCCACCAACACTAGCACTCCTGGGAGCCAAGACTTTCGCAGTTGCCCCAAATCATCCAGCCAATGGCCAGGAATGGCAGCTCCCATCACCCTCGTATTGCTGCAGCTTAAAACAAAGTACCCTAAACTGCGCCTTTAAAACCTGTGTTAAGATTTTAACTCATAAGTCTAAGCAGAGTGCAACTGGAGTATAAGGAAGATGAAAAGTGTCACTAAGAAACTTTTCATACTGTACAGTTGTTGCTTCTCCCTGGAGATTTTGAACCAGAATGTGGCAGGGGGTGGGGTGGTAAGAATTAGGTCAGGAGAATGGACCCCACGTGCGGTTTAGTGAAGGTCCCAGATGATTCTGATGCTGACACCACCGCCAATCTAGTACTTTCACATTCACAAAGCATATTCACATTTATTGTTATATGCGATACCGCCTACGGTGAAAGGGCAGAACTGTCGGGAAAAAGAATCACTTTTAAGAGGCTAATGCTCCAGGAAAATTCTAAAGTTTAGGTGATTCCCTGAACAGTAAAGCACTCTGTAATTCCTTCCATCTGCAAATCCCAAAAGAGTGTGCTTTAAAAACAGACTCCATAATATTTCCTGAAAAATAAGGATGTTCATTAAGGCATCTAAGCACAAAAATTAAAGTTTTAGTTCTAACTAAAGTCAACTACCAGATTTCTAATATTTTATACCTTGACTTCGGTAATATGTTACGAAAGATATAGCAGCTTAGAATAAAGAAAAGAATTGGTAGTACTCTAGAAAAGAATAAATTGATGCGGGTAGGCAAAGAGCTTGTATATATAACACTAATAGGGTGAGGCCAAAGGCATGAAGCGTGACTCACGTCCGAGAGACAGCTAAGGGCTGTAGGTGCGCCCTGGGCCGGCCTTACCTGCGAGTACTTCAGGACCTCTACGCCAGCGTTCTCCAGCTCTTCAGTGCAGTTGGAACTGATTAATGAATCAAAATTTCTAAGCACCTGTATATAAACAGAGGCAGCAGAGGGATGGTGGTAGGAAAGGAAAAGGCCTTGAATGAAGATATGCTACACATCTGGCGGGGAAATTTCAGTATCATCCTCCCTCTTTTCTTCTTCATTCATATCCATATTGTGGGTGCAGTTTCCATAAATCTATCTTCCTACATCCCCACCAATGTCCGTATTACATCTGACTTCACCAACTGTGTTTTCGCGTTAAATAGATGGGCAACCTTCAGGCCCCACTACCTTCACCATGTCCCTTCCTCCCAAGCTCGTTTCTCTTCTCCGTAAGTCTAGGGACCAGAAATTCTTTCCCTTTTCAGTATGCCAAGGCCAGCTTTCCCTCGGATATGATGTAAAATCTCCTTAACCAGGAAGAAAAAACAATACAATCATTTTGAAGATTTTTTTTAACATTAGTCTTACTATTTAAGGTTTCAAACTATTTTAGGGATGTAAATTTGGTTAAATGTGAATTCCATTCCTATTAGAAGTTCCCAACAAAGTTAAAAACATTGTCTTTTTTTTTCTGATATGGTAGGTGTTGTTCTAGAGAACGTCTCCTTCTCTATCCATCTATCTACTCATCCTCAAATCTTTCTAATGATCTTGTGGGGTTGGCAATGTTATCCCCATTTTTTTTTTCAGATGAGAAAGCTGAGATTCCAAGAAATGGAGAGACTCTTCGCAAGTATTAGAGCCAGGACTGAAATTGAGCTCAATCTGATTCTTCAGGTCCAGTTCTCTCCATGACATTCTGCACTTGCTGCTTTGGTTGCATTATCTTGAAGGCCATGCAAAGACCCTGGGACCATGAAGAACTGACCACTGTGTGCCTGTCAGGGCAGACGGTTTCTGCTCCTTTACCCCTTGCAGGGCTCTACATCCTGGGAAGGCACAGAGGACAAGGGGGAACGAAGGTATAGAAACCACCCTCCTGCCACATCTGACAGATGGGTTTACAGTGTTAGTGACGGGAGAGTAAAGACATAGGACTTCTTCATAGTCTTAGAACCGAGGCTCATTAATCTCCCCTTGATATCTGTGGAAAGACATTATTTTTTCTTAATTGAGTTCGGACTACCACGCTGAGGTGAGAAGTTCAGGGCAATTGGTAAGTCATATCTTCTAAGGCACTTACATAGTCTTTAACACAGCTGTGATTACAATATTCTAACACTTCACCTTTCTCATAGCCATCATGTGCTTAGACTTTGTCAGAATGCTATCATGAAAGTTAGCAGACATGCAGTGGGTGCCTACTGGCAGGGCTGTGCTCACATAAGGACACCTCTGTTCCCTTTCCAGTGAAGAAGAGACATGCAACTCTTGCAAGCTACACTGAGGTCAACACTGCAAATTACTGATCATTCATTCCATCAACGAATATTTATTAAGCTCCATTATGGGAAAGACATAAAATATCAGAATAAAAAACAGGTTAATAATGAACTTAAAGGATGTAGAGATAAGGTGGTTTGTAAGAGACAGAAATTATACAGAAAAGAACAGGAAAAATTTCATGGAGTATGTGCTATTGGCACTGGATCTTGATGATTTGGGAAAGGAAAGCACCTTAAGTAGAAGAGCCCTTACAAATATAAGGAGATGGGACCAGGTTACAGGTGGGGAATAGGCTAGAGAGGGTTCAGCAACTTCTGGAAAACGGGGGCATGGCTGATGAGACCACTCTTATGAGGGCTGAGTATGTACTTGGAGGGATGCTCAGGCCGGACCGGTCACAACAGCAGATCGAAGTGCACAGACGATATTTAGGGAGGACTTGCCGGTGATGGCGGCGGTGGTAATGACGGAGGTGAGGACCTCGGTGATATCATGACAGGGGTGATGGAAGAGGACACTCAGCGGGAAAGGCAGCTTTTTAGAAAGGAAATGGAAAAACCCACACTTGTCCTACACATTACTGGTGAAAGTCTATCCTAATTCTTCTTAAGGTATGCAACCTCAAAGACGGTAACAGTCACCGGGGAGATCAAGGATTGATAATGTAGTAGATGTAATAGCCAGCTGAACTAACTAGAGAAGGCCATGAAGCTACTGAGATGTCATCAGACCTCCTTCAAACAAAAGGAGACACAATTAAAAACAAGTAAAACTGGTAACAAGGAAACAACCTAAGGTATACAATTAACGTATAGAATCCAGTGACACTGGATTAACGGGTAGTATTAAGTGGAACTTGTGAGATTTAAAAAGCATTTGGCGCTTACATGAATAAGCAATGTTTTTAGTACCTAACATCCCCAAAGATATCATTATCATTTGTTAATTTTCACTTAAGATGCTGAAATAGCTATCCTTCGCTTGTGCTTATGAAGTTCCCTGGATATGAGCATCAATGAGCATCACAGAACCTTGAGTTAACTAGGAGCCACATGAATTCTACAGTGTAACATCATTGGAATAAGAAACAGAATTGGCATAATAATTAATCTAACTTTTTGGTACCAGGATTTTTGTTCTTTTTTTCAAAACTCTGAACATCATTTCCAGTTGGATTTCGATGTTCACATGATGGCTTCATTACTGCCCTCGGGAGACTGGTCTGCAAACTAACAGCTGTTACTGTCTAGCAGCTTTTCCTTTCTTATAAACATCCTCTTTCTTTCTCTAGGGATTTCTTTCTGATAACACACGTGTAACACATGCCAAGGAGGGTAAAGGGTGGGGGGGTCATGAGCTGTTCCCAGCCTAGTTCTAAGACAGAGTTACACTGGGAAGGAAGCACAGGCAGAAGGAGCCACTCTTGGCAAACAAGCCACTTTTCCAAATGCAGGAAATGAACCACTCTACTGATAAACTGCTGCAGTTTATTTGCTTATTTATGTATTAAATTCAGGCTAGCTATCCCTCTGCCTTCCTCCTTCCAATTTGCTGGATATATTCCAGCAATGCAAAATAATGTTTACCTATTAAAAAAACCCATTATCCAGGACGTAATTCTTCTGGGAGTTAATTGTATGACAAGCCTCAAAGCCAAGGAGAAAGCTCCTTAGAGTCTGGCTTAGAGTACAAGCTGACCAGGATTATCAGTTTTCCTCATCTCCCTCCATCTGCTCAAATAATCAAGAATTTGAATCATAGCATTGGGGTGGTCAGGGATCTGGTAAATCCTGTTCTGAAGGCATTCAGTGACTTGCCCAGGCCCTTACTGCCCCACGCCATGTCTCTGAAAGGTCCAATACTGCTCCACAATCATGGTGCTAAGCCACAATTAATCAAAACAACACACAAAGCAACACTTCATCATTAACAGCAGACATGGAGGCAGCATTTTAACAGATAAAAATATCGGCTTGGGCGTCTCAGACCTTAGTTGACTCAGTTTTGATACTAATTAGCAGTTGCAAAACCTCTCTTGGCCTTAACATGAGGTTCCAACAGATGGTCTATGAACTTTTTTTTTTTTGTGGTAAAAAACGCATTACATTAATTTACTAACTTAGCCATTTCCAAGTGCACAGTTCTAGAGTGTTATATTCCTGTTGTTTGCTGATCTCCAGAACTTTTCCTTCTTGGAAAACTGAAACTCTGTACCCCATTAAACAACACTCCCCATTTCTTCTGGCCCCCAGCCCCTGGCAACCACCATTCTACCTTCTGTATCTATGAGTCTGACTACTCTAGAAGCCTTGTAGAAGTGGAATTATATAGTATCTGTCTTTTTGTGATTGGTTTATTTCATTCAGAATGTCCTCGAGGTTCATCCACACTGTAACATGTCAAAATGCCATTCCTTTTCAAGGCTGAATGATATTCCACTGTATGTATATACCACATCATGTTTATCCATTCATTCAATCAACAGACAGTTCGGTTGCTTCCACCTATTGTGAATAATGCTGCTATGAACATTGGTATGTAAATATTTTGGTTATGTTTCCTTTTATTGCAAAGGACTTAGATGACTGACTGTTAATAATCCAATACTACCTAATCATATGAAACTGATTTCCAGAATAATAAAACAGTCTGTTCAATTTAGCTAATGTTCACATGTAAGCCTGCATGTCTCCTAATTAAGGCATATACTATTTAGTACTTCATAATGAAAACACCAGCCAGTTTGATGACATCAAAAGCATTATTATCAACTAGCAGCTGGCAGCTGGGAAGACTTGAGGCCTAGCTCAAATGGCTTCTATGCAGTCCTTTGAAACAAAGCAACTGACCTCCACATGCTTTGCACCCTAGGAGTTAGTGACACCATGAGAGGAAATTCTCACTGTAGATTTTCAAAAGATTTAACATCAAAGAAAGAGGAGGCAAAAGCAAAGAGTTGACCTTGTCGTGCCGTATCATGAGCGACGTCTTGGAGCCCAGGGCGGACAGGATGCCAGCGATCTCCACGGCGATGTACCCTGCACCGACAATGACACTGCGGCTACAGGGAAAGCACAGGGTGAACATCCTCACACAGACTTATTTGGAATAATTTTAGATGCACGGAAACGCTGAGAAGCTAGCGCAGAGATGTCCTGTCTACTTCTGCCCAGTTCTTCTGGAAGTTATTATCTTGCACAACTATGGTACAAGTGTCAAAACTAAGAAATGGACATCGGTACCATTTGAATAAATTCATTTAAATTCGCATATTGCTAGCAATGCCAGTTTAACAAATGATTTTGAAATATTTAAAGGACAGATATCTATATAATAAAATGTCTTTGAGGGCAAGTTTAGATGGACTTGTATCACCTAAACAAGACGAGTCATGACCACGTACGTCATATCATTCAGTCCTAAAACCAAACATTGCAGGGTGGATCACAGGGAAGAAAGGCTGGTTCATGCGCTGCAGACAGAAACTCTAAAAAGACTGCTTTTCTTTTCGTCAAAAGACTGCCTGGTTTGCATGTCTTAACAGGACATTTTCACTGCAGTGATGGAACTGACCTCTTGACTTGTATTAACTGGGACTCCGGAGAATTAAAGTAAAGGTGTGGGCATGACTTTTTTCCGAGAGTACTCTTATGAAAGCTGGGGACAGTGACACAAGGGAGGGCATAGTTCAGAGGGCGCAGCAGAAGAGCCTTGGCAGGGCTGCTTTGACTCAATGGAAAGTCAGAGAAAAGGGGCTTCGGAGAAGGGTTCGGGGAGTCGCCTGGGATGAGCTGCTGCCGCCCACTGCTCCCCTGGTTGCAAGTCTCATGGGGTTCCTTAGGGTTTAGGAGAGAAAAGGAAAGATGCACGCCTGAGAGGAAAGAACGCGTGGGCGTGCTCCCAGGAAAGCTAGTGAGCCACCTTCAATTTTCAGTAATCCCCCATGAAGGCCTTTATAAAAGCACAGGATTAGGAGCTCAGATTGGACAGCAGCACTCACAGGGAGGAGCAGAGTTGGGCAATACTGACCCCAGAGTGTTACTCAGAAGGAGATTAAGGAGATTAAGCCCTTGGGCTAGAAGTTCCTGTGTTTCATCTCTTCATGAGTGAAGGGAGGATCCCTCTAACGTGGAAAGCCTCTAACTGGCAACTTGTTCAAATCAGAGAAAAAAGCTTCCTCATTATCTTTTTTTCTCTGTGTATCTAAACCCATGACAGAAGTTTACTAAGGTTATTTGGACCAACACATATAAAGAACAATTTCAGAAAATCTATTTTTTATGAGACTGACAGAGCTTTTATTTACAGAGATCCCTCTGCACTAGCTGTTTTGAAAGCCAGAATCAGTCTCTGGCTGGGTAGCTCAGGTGGGTAGAGCATCGTCCCAATACACTAAGGTTATGGTTCAATCCCCAGTGGGCACATACCAGACTCAACCAATGAATGCATAAATAAGTATAACAACAAATTGAAGTTTCCCTCTTAAATCAATAAATAAAAATTAAAAAAAAAAGACAGAATCGGTTACTTGAAACACTATCAATTGATGCTGTATCAAGCTGAAGACAGACGATAGTTTTGGGGCTTTCCTATTTATTCTTCAAAATCATCTGTGTTTGGTTCTGGTTCTAAAAATTCTGCAATGCCCTCTGACCAAAGGCATGGAAGACCTGAGTCACTTAATGAGGGGTATGAGTGAAGGAGCTACCCAAGGTCATAAAAAAAGAAGAGGCAGGAGAACAGAATTCAGGAAACGCCTGCATTTAATGGGTGGGGTGGCAGGAGTGAGAAATGTCAGCAGGAGAGGCAGGGAGAGTGAACACTGAGGTCAGCAAGGACCCCGGCTTACCCAGGCAATTCTTCCAGTTCAAAAAATCCATCGCTGGTTATTCCTAAGCTGGCACCTACGTAGGAGAACGCACTATCAATCACACAGACTGAGCTTTCTCTTAGAAAATAGTCCCGAGAGTTTGTGCAGACCCAACACTTTCCCAGCCATCACACTCTCCGTTCTGACAAGTTTTTTATAGTCCTCACTGAGGAAGCTGCCAACCAAGTCCTCCCTGAGTCGACATTTTTATTTTCTTTCTAGAATAAGAGCAGTGACGACTAAATTACTATCCAACATTTTGGCAGACTGAGAATTTTCTCTGCTTTCAGAGTAGACCCTTTGCTGGCTCTGCTTCACTCTCCCGCCCTCCAATAAATTCCTCCTGGCGGTTATTAGTAAGCGTTTGCCTTTGGAAGACTCACCCGGGATCTCGCTCTCCTGCGGATGCGAGGGAAAGCCACCTGTTGCAATCAGGATGTGAGGAGCAGTGTATTTTTTCCCACTGACCTCTACTGTGGGCTCGGGATCACCCGTGAACGTTGCATGGCCGGGGATGATTTCTATATGTGCCTGGAGGAGGAATCATGCACGACATGAGCCTGTTCTTCAGATAAAACAAAAACACCTGCTGCAACTTCTCAGCGTTTTCCATTTCTCTACTGAGGATTTTGATTTTGGGTTTGCTCAGACCAAGACTACTCTCAGTATTTGAGATGCTACAGAATTTCTGATAATTGACAGTTAGGTAAGGGGGTTGCCATTCAATCCTGGAAGTATACAAGTAACAAGAAACAGGTAGGGGGAAAGAAAAGAAGAAGAAATAAAGGTGCTATCATGAGCCAAACCCCAGAGACCAAAAAAATATATACAAGTCACCCCCACAAGGAAAAAGATTTTATCTTTGTCCCCAAGAGCTGAGCAAGAAAGCCTCCCTCACTTGCAATGAAAACACATTAAAGAATGGTGTTGTCTGGAGGAGAAACAAAGGGCTGAGGAAGACAAAAGGATAAATAAAGGCAAAGGGGTAGAGGCAAAAGAGAAACACTAAGGCCAAGGCAGAAAAACCCGCAATGTTTCTGTGCAATGTTTCTGTCTTCGTAAACAAAATGGGAAGAATCCCACAAAATTACATGACAATGAAGTTCTGGGCCAGAGATGTTGAGAACTCAGACTCTCACTTGCTCTTATTGTGCCAGGGCCTCGATTTGGGGACCTTCAATTTGGGGACTGGAGATTGCCAGCAAACCTGCTATGATACGTGTACTGGCACGCAAAAGTGGACGATTTACAAGGATGATGGAATCATGCAAGCAGGCTCACAGAGCAGAAGATTTAACAGGTTAGAGCGTGCTTGGTTCTGAACTGAGTCATTGCCTCTTTTGCAATCGCCCCTTCAGGCCTGCTCTGCCTGTATCCTGCTTAATCGGCTTAAATCAAGATCAATGCCAAACAACACAAGCCTCCAGAAAAACCTTTCTTCAGGAGGTAATCATTTCCTATGGGTGCTAGACAAACAGGGGTTCGGGTCAAGTGGCAATAAGATAGATAATAGCTTGGGGGAAGAACTGATGAAATTTTTATTTTCATTTCCTAGAATATATGAAAGTTTCCTTTCCTATTCAGAATTCCTTCCCCATAAAGTCATAGTAAGCTTTACAGCACACCAAGATTTGTGGGTATTTAAAAATGCTGTTTCTTGAGTGATTTTCCTATCTCTTTTGCATTTTACCCAGCTCCACTTTTTAATAAAATTTGACGTGGGTATTTTAGTATAGTAAATGTTCTCTCTGTACTCATGTTTAATAGACTTAAAATATCTTGTCACCAGTGCCTAAGGGACCAAAGGCCCTCAAATATTTTCCTCTTGAACTGGGGATGAAGATCAGAAAATAACACCATCCAAAAATAAACCCAATGAATGATGAAAATCACTATAAAAATATATGAGGTTAGCCATCTGTTGGAGTAACTTACACTAAAAGTTGGCTTATAAACAATCTGCTAGTGAGATTACAGTACCCTGAATAGCATCGAGAATCTACTGATCTAAATATAAGCTAAGCTGCCTTCGAACCTTAGAAACTGCCAAGTGAGACCATAAAGGCACAGGGAGGATGCCGAGATAAATACTGGCAAGAAAAAGGATAGTCAATGGTGCACAACCTGTCAGTATCTCTGGCATAGCCCTGGTGGCAGAGGTATGACATCTAAGCACTAAGATGGAAGAAACCTCAGGAGAGCCCAGGACAATGTATACTTGCTACAGGCAAACCCACCTTTGCCCAATTTTCTTTTTATGAGATTTCATTCACATGAAAACACCTTCTGAACCATAATTTGCACTCCTGAGTAGATTGAGCCATCAAGGATGAGGGCGCACTGAGCAAATAACAACAACTGCAGGTTTCCAGCCAGATAATGCTCCTGATTTTAATTAATGAACTGGCATAATCAGTCTCCTCTGTGTTTCGTTTCTGGATCTCAGTGGAAGTCCAGACCTACTGAAGGTACAGCCATCAGTGAGACCTGTCTACCGACTTTGGCACACACTGCCCACTCTCTGCAGAAAAGAGACTGGCCTTCCAAGTCAGAGGCTCCTCTCTGACAGGCCAGCCTCAAAATCATGAATCATGAAAGGAGTAACAGAAACAATAAGAGATATAGACAATGGCTACCCTTTAGTCTGGCCAGACTTGTTAGCATACTCCAGCAGAGAAGAGCGACTCCTCAAAGTTCAAAACCCAGCTCACTCACCTTGGTTAGATTATTTTCATAGATGGTGTTCAGGCGGCTCACGTAGGCATCCCGCTTTTCCTTTATAACCCTGCAGTGAAACCCGAATCAGTACCAAGAAAGAGGACTCTCCTCTTTCAGTCAGTAACTAGGGCATCTGTCCCTGAGCAGAGAACCCCAGACTGTCAGCACAGACCCCAAGAGTCAAGGTGTCTAGAGAGAGCCACCCTCCCCGTGTCCGCCTGTCTGTACGTGGAGAGCCCCTATTTTACTCCATGGAGAATGTTCAGCTGGCATCCACGGTGTGTAAATAAAACTTTTCTTTGCACAGAAGGAGAGCTGCTTTGGCACCGGGCTTGGCACGGCAGCATTAAGAGCTTACTGGAATGAAACGGTTGATGGCATCTTAGGGAATAAATAATCTGCAAACCACATTTGCCACTCAATATTCAATAAATGAATGAATCTACTAAAAATTTTTAAAAATTCAATGGCTCCAAAATGGTCACGGGCCCTGGCTGGTGGGGCTCAGTGGACTGAGCATTAGCCTGTGAACTGAAAGGTCGCCAGTTCAATTCCCAGTCAGGGCACATGGCTGGGTTGCAGGCCAGGTCCCCAGTTGGGGATGCATATGAGGCAACCAATCGATGTTTATCTCCTTCTCTTTCCCCCTCCCTTCCCTTCTCTCTAAAGATAAATAAAAAATAAAATAAAATCTTAAAGTTCATGGCAGCTCATTAAAAAATTAAACACAAAATTGCCAGCAATTCCACTTCTAGGTATAGACCCCAAAAAGCTGAAAGCACACACTTGTAGACCAGTGTTCATAGCATGATTATCCACAATAGATAAAGCGTGGGGGAAAAAAACAAAAGTCCACTGAAAAATGAATGGAGAAACAAAATATGGTATATATATATATAAAAGAGTGCCATTCAGCCTTTAGAAAGACTGAAATTCTGACATATGGCACAAGGATAAACTTTTAAAACATTATGCTAAATGAAATAAGCCAGGCATAAAAGGACAAATATTGTAGAAAATACCTAGAATATGCAAATTCATAGACACAGAAAGCAGAACAGAGATACCCAGGGGCTGGGAGGAGGGGAGATTAGGAATTATTGTTTAATGGGTATGCTGCATAGGATTGTTCTTGTTTGGGATGGTAGGAAAGTTCTGGAAATGGATAGTGGCAATGGTTGCACAATACAATGAATATACCTAATAGCACCGAAATGACAAGTTAAAAATGGCTAAAACGGTCCCTGGACAGGTAGTTCAGTTGGTTAGAGCACCGTCCTGATACGCCAGCCAAGGTTGCGGGTCTGATCTCTGGTTAGGGCACATACGAGCATCAACCAATGAATGCATCGACAAGTAGGAAAACAAATTGATGTCTCTCTCTCAAATCCATTTTTAAGAAAAAGTTAAAATGAATATTTTATGTTGTGTGTCTATACATACTTAATGCATACAACTTGGTGAGATTAGAGATAAGCATACAACTTGGTGAGATTGGAGATGAGCATATACATCATCACTGTCAAGGCTATAAATGTTATCTATCACCTCCCAAAGCTTGTTATATGTATTTTACCACAATACAACACCCTGAAAAACTTTATGGCACATTTAATTATGAAACAAAAATATTTATATTTGTAAAAGAAGCCCTCTGAGGATTCGCACTTACCGCCAATTGAATTTACTGTCACAACTTTGAAAGCCATAGTCAGCATGATCGTGCATGAATTCGGAGTGGACAGCCGTGTTCCACATTACCTGTAAAAATAAATAAATAAAATCCTTTTTAAAAAAAAGAAATTGTAAATGAAAGGTAACTATGTAATAGAGAAAATAATAATACTGACCTTTAAAGACAAAATTAGACATTTTGTTTAAATTTTTTTGTTTTAAAGATTTTTATTTATTTTTAGAGAAAAAAAGGGAAGGAGAAAAATGGAGAGAAACATCAATGCATGGTTGCCTCTCGCGCCCCCCACTGGGGACCTGGCCTGCAACCCAGGCATGTGCTCTGACTGGGAATAGAACCAGCAGCCCTTTGGTTCGCAGGCCAGCACTCAATTCACTGAGCCACACCAGCCAGGGCACAAAACTGGACATTATAAAAGAAAAAGTTCAGAAATATGACCAGATAGATTTTATACGAAGGCTTCTGAAATACCGGGGAGAACTACTTCCACGGTTAAATTTCCTAGTTTACAAGCTCTGAAAAAGCAGGATAAGGCTCATAGGACTTCCATTAACATTTATTACTCCTTACCAATATATTCTCTTTTTCAGTTTCAGATTTCTTTAAGCCCTGCCTTTTGTGATTAGTTCCAGAAAATGGAATTGCATCCATAACTTTATAGTATGGTGATTTGAAGGAAGCTATTGGGTAATGTCGAGAACTAAAATCTTTAAGAGTATGAATTCCTATTAAGTATGCAGAACTATGACCATGCCCTTGTTAGAACATAATGAAATCAGATACTTGGAACTCAAAGGTTCAATGCATCCCTTGTGGGATGTAGCATATAACCTCTAAAAGCCTTTTAATGCCAACTGATCATCATGATAACTGAATCCAGGCCGGCATCCAGGACTCCAGATGACAGCCAAACCATTTTTTCTTGGTCGGGCAAGTCTTAACTCCACATTGACAAGTCTTAGGATTGCTCCTTTGCATCTTTCTCCCTTTATGCCAAAAGATGAATAAATTGATAACTTTGTTGGATTCTGTTTCTTTCATTGAGGTGAAATTCATGTAACATAGAATGAACCATTTTACCTGCTAGATTGTTTATCTTAAACAATGCATATGAAAGATATATCAATACCACAAATACACTGTTATTTTAAGAAACACTACTATGCCTTATATTATCCTAGGTACCATAGTTATTTACTTCCAGTTTGTAGTACGATCCTATAGCATCTAACCCTCTGGAGAAGGGGCCTCTATCTGAACTGCACTGGCCTTTAAGCTGAGACCTAACTGGGGCAGTAGCAGGCCCACCCATCTGGTTCCTTCTCAGCTGCTGCTTCACCCTACCTTGCGCAGGGGCAGTTACTCTAGACTCCAGGCTGTTCTACAAAACAAGAGGTAATTACCAAGTGATCTTCAAGAAAGCAAAAGTATTTTGAAATCAGTACAGTCCTATAAAAATATTATGTAAATGTGCAGTATGTGCGGTCAGAATAGAAGGTTAAGTGAAATATATGGGAACAAAATATTACAAATTCAGCCCACCATACCGTATCAGCCCAGATGGTATTTTAAAACAATGAGGTAAAAAAAAATAAAATAAAATAATGAGATAGCACAAATCAAGAGCAGATTTACTACCATAATTGGTTTAAATGACATAAAACTACCTTATAACTAATATATATAATCCATAAATTCACAATTGCATGATTCTAAGTAGAACAGATTCCAAAATCTAGGACAAAATGGGAAGAAAAAATTTGAGGAAAAATGTCCCACAGGGGGAAAAAAAAAAAAGAGGGCTACTTATACCAGAAAAAGGATTACAGAAAACCTTTGTGGAGTCAAGCTCAGACGTGCGCACTGACGCAATGAGGCTGTCTGCTCGTACACACAAAGCTGCCAATTTAAAATGTAATCTCAGTCACAAAACGTTGTAAGCCTAGGATTATAACATGTTTTGAAAGGAGTAAAATTATTTGCAAGTATAAGCAAGAGGCAGCTTTGGAAACAGGAGGTGTCATTTCTCTCTGTCACAGATGAGGATGAGTTCATTCTATGTGACCTGCACTAAAGCCACTTGTAGTTGGTTTCTCAGTTACTTTTTTGCAGAAAAAATTTTAACTGAAACATTTAGAAACAATCTTATTCTAATCATAATTTACCAAACACATTAAAGGAGTGCAGAAGGAATAAGAAATAAAAATCCTACCTTTTTGGGTACACATCCGACATTCACCTGGGAAAAAAATTTAAAATGACATATTTTAATAACATTAAACTCAAACCATAAAACAAACCTGCAAGAAATGAACCCCAAGCATCCACCCAGGAGACTTCCTTTAGTTCTAAGTCACAATCTACAGGTATTTCCTTTCTTCTTGTATAGAGCTAGAAAAGATATGAACATTATTTTTTATTTTTCTTATGTGATGAGGCAGAGAATTTTACTCATCATTTTTTCAAGAAAAACAGAGGGAGAAAACAATTCCATTTCCAGGGAGTTGTCCACTACAGGGTACAGGTCAGGAGAGGGCAGATCCTGCGCTTGCGCAGGACCCAGAGGGAAGCACAGAGAAATGGCAGTGTGAAGTGAGAGACAACCCAACTCTCTGAGCTGCTGTCCTAGAGGATTTCTGGGACCCTCACTACAGCACATCTTGTGTACAACATCCTGAATGTCCCCTCTGAGAAAATCTTTAGTGGAAATCTACATTATTCTTCAGGACCAAAGGACAATGATGAATCAAGGAGCGAGGTTCATCTATGCGATGAAGTCTAATGCACTTACTAGAAACAGATCACAGATTTGGTTCTCAGCCTTCCAGCAGCCAGTACACAAAGGGAAGCACAAATACTTATAAGATTTCATGTAAAAACTAACTAGTTGTGTAAGAAAATAATTATTCATGCCTGTTAGACTAGAAAGAAATTCTTCCTAAGGGTCCTTGTAAACAAGCTGTGCTGTAAATTTGCACATAGATTTCTGTTTACATCCATTTATTTCCCTTTGACCACAACCTAAAATAACTGTAAACAAACAAACAAACAAACAAAAAACTTGGGTTAAGAATAAGATTGATTAAAACCGCCAGAAGGGTGAAGAAATTTGGATTTGACTGAATGGGTAACCACTGCGTGTACCCCAGCAGAGGAGCTGGTTGTAAAAGGAAAAACGAGATCAAGTCCACTCTTTTTTCAAATTAAGTATATTGGGGTGACATTGGTCAATAAAATTATATAGGTTTCAGGTGTACAATTCTAAAATACATCTTCTGTGTATTGCATTGTGTGCTCACTACCCAAAGTCAAATCATCTGTCACCATATAGTTGATTCCCTTTACTCTTTACAACCCCTCACCCCCTTTCCCTCTGGTAACGACCATACTGTTGTCTGTGTCTGTAAGTTCCAGCTTTAGAACCCATATATGAGTGAAATCATATGGTTCCTGACTTTTTCTGTCTGACTTGTTTCACTTAGCATGATATTCTCAAGAGCTATCCTCGTTGCAAATGGCGGTATTTCATCTTTTCTTATGGCTGAGTAGCATCACATCTTCTTTATCCAATAACCTATCAGAAGATATTTTGATTGTCTCCATGTCTTGGCCACTGTAAATAATGCTGCTATGAACATAGGGGTATATAAATCTTTATGAATACGTGTATCCAAATTTTTCAGGTAGATACCCAAGAGGTATTGCAGGGTCATACGGTAACTCTATTCCTAATTTTTTGAGAAACCTTTATACTGTTCTACATAGTGGTACCAGTTTACATTCCCACCAGCAGTGAATGAGGGTTCCTTTTTCTCTACAACCTCTCCAGCACTTACTATTACTTGTCTTATGGACAATAGCCATTCTAATAGGTGTGGAGTGGAAACTCTTTGGAGTTTTTATTTGCATTTCCCTAATAGTTAGTGAAATTGAGCATCTTTTCATATATGTTGGCCATTTGTATGTGTTCTTGGAAGAAGTATCTGTTCAAGTTCTATGCCTTTTTTTTAAATTGGATTTTTTGTTGTTGTTAAGTTGTATGAGTTCTTTATACATCTAGGATATTAACCCCTTATTGGAGGTGTTGTTTGCAGATATATTCTCCCATTCAGCTGGTTACCTTTTTTTAGTTGTTGATAATTTCTTTTGCTGTGCAGACACTTTTTAGTTTGATATATTCCCATTAATTTATTATTGCTTTTGCTTCCCTTGCCTTTGAGGTCAAATTAATAAAATCCTCTTTTAGACCAAGGTTCATAACTTTAGTATCTATATTTTTTCCTATGCAATTTATTGTTTCAGGTTTTATATTTAGGTTTTTGATCCACTTTGAGTTAATTCTTGTGTATGGTGACAAACAGCAGTCTTGTTTTATTCTTTTGCATGTGGCTTTCCAATTATCCCAGCACCATTTACTCAAGAAGCTTTATTTTCCATTGTATGTTTTTGGTTCCTTTGTCAAAGATTATTTGCCCATATACATGTCGGTTTATTTCTGGGATCTCAATTTTGTTCCGTTGGTCTGTGTGCCTTTTTCTGCCAGTACCATGCTATTTTGATTATAGTGGCTTTGTAGTATAATTTGGAGTCAGGGAGTGTGATACCTTCAGCTGTTCTCTTTTTCAGGGTTGCTTTGCCTATTCGGGGTCTTTTGTGGTTCCATACAAATTTGATGATTTTTTGGTTCTATTTCTTTACAAAATAACATTGGGATTTTGATGGGGATTGCATTAAATCTGAATATTGCTTGGGATAATATGGCAGTTTTAACTATGTTGGTTCTTCCAATCCATGAACCTGAAAACTCTTTCCATTTCATTGTGTTTTTTTCAATCTCTTTGAATAATGTTTGGTGTTTTCAGCATATAGGTCCTTCACCTCCTTTGTTAAGTTTATTCCTAGATATTTCATTCTTCTTGTTGCAACTGCAAAACGAATTGTATTTTTCATTTCTTTTTCTAAAATTTCATTGTTATTTTGTAGTAATGCAATGGATTTTTGTACATTGATTTTTTTGTATCCTGCAACTTTATTGTGTTTACTGTTTCTAATAGTTTTTTGGTGGCATCTTTATATAAGGAATCCTGTCTGCAAAAAGTGACAAATTCACTTTTTTTAGAGAACTTTTATGAGTTTATCTGAGCCAAAGTGACAACACTTGCAGAAAGCAAGATCTCAAGTGCTCCCTAATTTTACTTCTTCATTCCCAATTTGGATACTTTTTAAATTTTTCTCTTGCTTGATTGCTCTGGCTAGAACTGTGTTGAATAAGAGTGGTGAAATGTTGTCTTGTTCCTCATCTCAGAGAACGGCTTTCAGTTTTTTTACCACTGATTATGGTATTAGTTGAGAGTTTGTCAAATATTACCTTTATTATGATGAAGTACTTTCCTTTTATACCCATTGAGTGTTTTAATCATAAGAGGATGATATATTTTATCACATGCTTTTTTGTGCATATATTGATACAATCATATGATTTTTATTCTTTATCTTGTTAATGTGGTGTATAATGGGAATACCATCATTCGTTACTTGTACAATTCATTAGAACAAAGAAATAAGCCCTGGCTGGTGTGGCTCAGTAGATTGAGCACCAGCCTGCGAACCAAAAGGTCGTTGGTTCAATACCTAGTCAGGGCACATGCCTGGGCTGCAGGCCAGGTCCCCAGTTGGGGGCATGCAAGAGGCAACTGATTGATGTTTCTCTCCCTCTCTTTCTCCCTCCCTTCTCCTCTCTCTAAAAGTAAACAAATAAAGTCTTTTTTTTTAAAAAAAAGAACAAAGAAATAAACTAAAGTGATTTTACCTGGGTAGTGGAGTTTAGATGCGAGACTCTTTCACCTCTCTTGCCTGTTTTCAGTATTTTCTATAAAAGTTTTTTTTCTATTATATGGAAACAAATGCCTTCTAGACGTAACTTACATCAGATGCTTATAGCCCTGCTAATCATGACCATAAGGAACTAGGTTGGTTCTCTGTATGACCAAAGAATAAATGCCTATTCTTACAGCAGAATATTTTACAGCTGTCCTATGTTGAAACCTCCAGCTCATACACGCTTCCCAAGGGACTTGATATGAAATACCAGATTAAAAGGAATCTGTCCAAATCCCACTAAGGTTGCAAATGTTTGGAAAAGTGGGTCTTATTGAAGAGTAACTTCTATTCCTCTAAAATTCTATTTGTTAACAACATACCTGCTGCAATTTCATTATAATCCTACTATTTGTTATTATTCTGCACTCAGAAATTAAAAGGAGTGAGTTATGTTTCTGTACAGTTCTCAAGTTATCAGTCATATGGGTTTTTTTTCCTAGGAAGAATTAGGTCATATACTTTCTAGTTGTCCACTTCAATTCTTTTATGAGATTATGTTACAGTAAGGAGTCATAAGGCAACAGAACTAGGAACTCATAGGACTGAGAGAAGGGTGCAGAATTCAAGCCTAATAAAAGAGTATTTTATGAGAGCAATTAGAACAATTTATAGCTTTCTACCTAGACTGCCCTCAATCTGAATAAGCCAAGAATATGCTACTTCTCATCCCCCAAGTGTTTGACAAAGCCATGAGGAATATGGAGTGAGCCCATTCTAAGGAACGTAGATAGCAGGTGCTTCTTGGGTGGTAGAAGACAGAAAGGCAGCACAATCCTAGAGGGAAAAGCAATGCCTGCCCTGAGTGGGATGATTTTTATCATCAGACCTGGCTTCTCCAGTTCGTTTGGCAAAGTGTTTCTCATCCACAACTTTATACTCTGCAGTTTATAGCTTAAGTTCACTAAAAGGCTTCAACTAGGGCAGACTCCAAAAGCAACTGCTCCAAAAGTAGAGAAGATTTCAGTATATTAAATAAACACACTCTGCTTGTCCTCTAGTCCACCTTCTCCAGCTTCCCAGGAATCTTTGAAAGCAACTCAAATTGTCCTAAGGCACTAACTGTTCTGAATCACTCTCACATATCATTAATTTATTCTTCCTGTACATTTTAAGCCATTTGAAAGTTATTCAAGGCAATGTTTAAAGAGAATTTGGAATATGGCTCTGGCCAGTGTAGCTCAGTTGGTTGGAGCATCATCCTGTAATTGAAAGGCTGCGGGTTCGATCCCCAGTCCAGCGGTGGGCATGTGTAGCCTCTGGGCCAGACACGTAAGATCCCCAGTATGGGCACCAATCCCTGGTCCTGGAAGGTTCAGGATGCAGACAATCGGTGTTTCTTTTTCACATCGATGTTCCCCT